TACATTACCGAGAGTGTCGGCACAAAGCACGACATCAATACATCTCAACTAAGACGACACACATAAACAAGAACCGCAGTGATTTGTCTGAAAAATAAAAGTTATTGGTTTGGTATTGACCATTAAAATGTGCCTAGTGCAAAATAGAATTTCATGCATGTAGAGCAATGTAATAATGAAAACATGCAGCTACAAAATGTCAATGCTTCTGCAACTAGGATGTTGTATTTTTAGCTTTTAGCTTTAGCATCCACACTTGAGTTCATGTCCTCTAAAAGGTTTTCATCAGACCAGGAGTCACAGGACTTTCTCAACCCTGAAAGCAAAACTGGAACTGTCAAACAGCAGACAGATATATTTTGGGATGGCAGGACATTACATCAGAATAAGAAAGTAAATTTAAGAATACATGCATGTGAGGAATGTGTTTTAATGCAGTTATCGGTACATTTTTTAAAGAAAAAACTAAATTAGTTATCGTAAAATAAAGAATTAAAAATGTGTAATCCAAAGCAGAATATGTATGACCTCCAGATATTTATATAAAATATGAAAAAATGCACAAAATTAATATAGTAAATACAATAAAAACTCTATATACATTTGAATTTACAAGGGAAAGTGTTTTTGTTAAATGTGTTAAATTTGAATAGTGTGCAGAAGTATTTGGATGCAGTGCACATAAGTACAGAGAATGGAGATGTGTTAGGGTAGAGGCAGTGTGATGCGTGACACATTAGCCACCCATTAATCCAGATGTCCATCCAGATGTAGCGCAAGATTTCAGCTAAAGAAATCAGCAAAAGAAAATGGACATTTATGTGCGTCTCCATCCACTACCGTCATGTGAATACTGGAGTTGGTTCGTCAAGATTAATCGCTGGGGATGTTGAACACTTTTTATTTCTTTCCTGTTTTATTTTGTATTATTTCCCTTGTGTCTTGTGGTTATTTTACTTCCTGTGTTGTTGATTGTCCGCCCTGCCCTAATGTGTTTCACCTGTGTTCAATTACCCTTGCCTCCCTTGTGTGTGTTTAGTCTCTGTGCTCCCCTTTGTCTGTGTCGGTTCGTCCCGTTTTCTGTGGTTCTTCTGTCCGGCCTGTTTTGGATTTTTGAAGTCGTTCGTGAAGTGTTTTTGGCTTTTCAGTTTTTGCTTTTTCTTTTCCCTATGATTTTGGATTTTCAGCATTTTCACCGTTTTTGTAAGTTTCTGTTTCTTCTTCATTTAATAAATCACCACTTACTTTAGATGATCTGCATTTGTGTCCCTTATACTACAAAACCTGACATCAGGCGCCATTTAAACCATTACAGGAGAAGTTCCTTTGGGTTTTTGTAGCAGATAATAATCACACAATTTTAAGAAGAAAAAGTTACAAATATTTGCATCCAGACTTTTAAAACTTGCAAATATTAAACCATTTTTTTTTTCAGTCACTTGCGGCCAGTGGAAACAAGCTGTGAACACCACTGAGATATTATCACCTTATAAAGCTGATATTTGGCAAATGTGCTAGGAAACAGTTTTTCCAGCAGACACAGCAACACTCACTTAGAGTCGGGGCTTTCTGGTATTATACATGCTGGCTCAGTGGATTGTGGATTTAATTGCTTACACCTGTGCTTTTCCTGCCATGACAAGTGTCATTAAAAAAAGGGCCTGTGCATCTGGTGCTCCACATTTTCTATTTTCAATGCAACTTAAATACATTCGTGCCAGTCACAGTTTTGATTGCACCGGCGTGCACCATGGGTCCTAAATGATAATTCAGACGTGGAAGCCGTGGAGAAGTGTTATGAGCTAAAGTAATCTTGTGTAAATGAGTAATCGGGCCCCATTCGGACTGCATTAACATTACAGGGGGAGGTAGGGAATAAAATATTATAAAAAAATATTCACCGTGCTCCTCGGTAATTAAGCTCATTGTTCCAGACTGTATTTAAACCGTGAACTGTGAAACCACAGGATGTGAGCTGTAATAGACTTTCTGCAGGACTCGCCACAAGACAATGCAGATACCAACCTGCCTGTTTCCATTTATTAGATTAGCAGAAACATTTTTGATTTACTCCATTTTCACACAAAAGCAGCTTTAAAAAAAAAAAAAAAACAGAAAAACTAAGCAACAAAAAACAAACAAAGCAGAAGGAAAAGCAGCTTTTCCTGAGGGGAAAACTCAGAGAGAGGAAACACAAAGTTTAAAACAGTTGCAAACCATCATGTCAAAGCTTCACTCATTTATTTCGGGCCGTTACGGAGCTAAACAAGCTAAAACACACTTCCGTCACCATTATCAGCAACCAGTGCTGTTGCGGACGTGTTAGCAAACAGTCGCCTAGTTTTACATCCAACACACAAGGTAACATTAGCATTTGGAGTCATGTGTCAGGCCAGCTGAGAAATGTACGTCCGATATTCATTCTCCTCGTTACTGTGTTTGGCCGCAAGAAAAATATTGGACTCTAGCAGCTAAACTTTTACATTGTTCATTAACTCGTCTGTAAACTGTACGTCGAGTTTCTTAACAGCATAATGACGATCATATAAATGAGACCTGCGACACCTTTCACATAAAACAAAGTCATTTCATCCACTGACGATATAAAAAACGTATTAGTGCAGCTTTAAGTAAAAAAAAACTAGATAAATATATGTGAAGCAAAGAACCAGGACAAGACAATTCAAAATATGGAAAATTATTATTGAAATGAGGATCTAAAAATGTAAATTTACAGCATAAATACAGTGTCTCTGACCACACAGATGCATCATTATCACTTCATTCAACTTGTAAAATGAAAAATTCATTTGGCAGCCATCGAAGTGGAAGAAGGTTTTCTCTCTCTGCTTCCCTCTGGGTATCAATTCAATGACGAACGCTGTCCGATAGAAAATAGTTTTTTTTTCTGCTTTTTCTATCCAACTTCTGCCCTTCAGTGTTTTACAGAGAAAGACAGGAAGTACACACTCGCTCTCACACTGACCTGAGCAACGCGTCGTGTTGTAGCTCACAGTTTAGGGAACACCGAACGTCTTTGTTGATATCACTTCTTCCCTTCACCATCTGTTTTAAAGTGGATACCGGGGACCTGCAAAACCTGACTCACCGACTGAATAAATGCAATTCCGTATGGGTACAAGCCACACACACACACACACACACACACACACACACACACACACACACACACATAGTTATAGTACAGTGGAGGGTTGTGTCGACACTGAGGCAGATGGGTCGTAATGAAGCGGCGCGTTAGTCACCTGTTAGCCGTGTCTGAAATCACTTCCGTGTTCGCTGATTCCTACGTGATGAAAACTCAGTGGTGTTCCCTAAACCGAGTAGTAAAATGGGACGTCTGACATTTATGATTCATCATCATTTATTTATTTTTTTGTCACAACCAGCAGATGTTGTCTCACATGACTGTAATTTACCCGTCAGTCACCCGAGGTGCCGAGGCGAATCATTTCGTCGTAGGAAAGTCGCGCGCGGAGCAGTTTTCATTCAGCTGTGTGATGTTTGAGTGCTCTTCATTGTGCGCCGTACGCTTCAGACACTCAAACGTAATGGCACAAAGTGAATGCGGTGTAACACAGTAGGTAGTAAATACGGAGCAATTATGGACACAGCCTATCAACGCGTCATGTAGCATCGAATTCCCCAGCCTCACGGCGAGTGTGTGTTTATGCGTGTGTCCCGTCATATCAGAAATTTGACACCGACAGAAGGTGTGTTTGCTAATTCTCTGCTCCAGCGATCCTCGACTCCTTTAATTACATCCCTGTGTCTTTCTCCTGTCTGTCGGTGCTGCAACACTTCACTGCTCCGTCTGCTTCTGTGACGATGTCGTGTCCAACATGACATTTCCTCTCCCGTCTCTACTCCCTGTGTGTGTGTGTGTGTGTGTGTGTGTGTGAGACTCTATTTATGGCAAAGCTTTTACCTGACAATGTGACATACATTCCTGCATAAAAAATACACACCTGTCACTTGTGTGGGTTGGGGTTTTTGTACTATCCTGAACACACACACACACACACACACATTGGAAAAGCTGCAGCAGTGAATCCTCTGACTCACACATCATTACTTCAGTCAGTTATCCATTACTTGTGTGACGTGAGTGATGTATATCTTACAGCTAGACGAACAAACAAACAGATAGACACGAGTTAAAACATAAAACATAACCTCACTGGTGACGGTAATAATCTATCAAAATGTACGATTTCCATTAAGGCTCCTCAAGTAAATTCGACGTTGAGTTAATCTTTAAAAAGCAGATGATTCCTTCCTTTCCTTTCAACAGTTATTTACAGTCGATTAGCTTCATGCTACAAACCTTAAACACAATTTTAATTAAACCACAACTCAGTTAATCACTTTTCAAACACCGGTGTGATTGGTAACATTAATTATGGCTGAATTCTATTCATTCTATTCTATTCAGTTCCTCCGCCGAGGCCAAACAACCCGACACGTGCGTGAGATCTGAATCGCCTGTGTTTGATCAGATCGGCACGAACATTTAACGGATTCTTCCGAGGCCCGTACCCCATCCCTCCACCGAGTCTGGTGCAAACAACCCGAGTACTTTTTGTGTAATCCTGCTGACAAACAAACAAACAAACAAACAAACAAACAAACAGTGTTTTCTTGTAGCAAATAAAAAGCTGTTGTGATGATATTGTATGCTAATCAGATGTGTTTATAAAAAGCTCATTTGGTTGCCAGGTCCAACGCGATGTCAGTCAGATGTAGGTTAACAGCAGTAAATTGTTTTCCAGACCAACACAGAAATGAATCATGTCTAATTTGTTGTGTTGAAAAGTGCGACCAGCTGTTCTCATCACTGACACTTCGTCGTGCTGAATCCCTCCAATATGGCCACCAGAAGGTTTTTTGTTTTGTTCTTCTTCTCCTCCCCTCACAGTCCTGTGTAACTGAGCCGTGTGTTTAGTTTGTGTGTTTCTGTCCCTGTGTGTGTCCGACAGGAGGGCGACTCTCTCGGGGCGATGGAGAAGGTTTGTCGTCAGCTGACCTATCACCTCAGCCCCCACTCCCGGTGGAGGAGACAGGGCCTGCTGAAGAGGAAGCCCCAGGCCTGGTGAGTGTCTTTCTATGGTTGTGAAGCCGCCGTTTTTCATTGTGAGGACAATTACATCCCCGATATATTGATAAGGTATGTGCCCAAACGAGAATTGAGACTTTAAGAGACACTTTAAGAAAAGTGCTATTAAAATAAAGTTTCATGGTTATTATTGATTTGGTATTGTGAGGACACTTTGGGTTGGTTCTCACAGGTCAGGGTTGTGCTCAGGCATCTGTGTGTGATGGTGAGTATATTGTAAGGGTGTGTGTGTGTGTGTGTGTGTGTCTCTTTGGTTTCATTAACATCTCAGTGTGTCACCAATCACCAATGTGTCATCATCTGCTGCCCATTTGGACGCCATGGACAAAAAACTCCACTGACGTCTCTGTCTCTTTATTTTCTCGCCCTCGCTGATACACAGTTGGAGACGAAATCACTTCCCTCCGTGTCACCTTCACTGTCTCGCTTTGCCTTTTAGTTTCCCTCGTGCTGTCAAACAGACTCCGTCTCTACGATGCACATTATTGTGTAAATTCAGTTTTTATTTATTGTGTTTTGTTTGGATGTCACTGACCTTTATTCAGAGGACTGAATTTGAAGTTTTGTAGAAACCTCATTTTGAGTGTCTGCAGTGTTGCACGGTGTGTAACTGTATTTCCTGGGGCGAAGCGTGACATAAATTATCCTCAAGTGTAAAACAATGCCTGTTGCATCAGTATGTTTCACTTGATGATGGTTTTGTTCATTGTAATTGTATTTCTCTGCTCTCTGGTGCACAGTATTTAATGGTATTGTTTAATTGGATTGGTGTATACTGAATTATCACATGGAACATTAGCGAACAAATGGAGCATTAACTGTGTAAAAGAATAAGCCTAAATGAGAATGAACTCATCTTCTTCAGTTGAGTACTTTGTTCACATCAACACCATCAGCTTCATCAGCAGAAGTAGACAAGAACATGGAGTTTTACCAAAGACAAGTATTATAACTTCACTCTCAGCCTCCCAGAATCTAACATCTGTAAATATTGTCATGGCGTCTTCAGGTATGTAAGAAATCCCCAAACCAAAACAGCTTTTCTGTGACTATTTCCAAAACCCAGAGTAACTGCATCTGTCTGCACATTTAAATGTAGAAGTTTAGAAATGAATCAGAAAGAGTGTCACAGTTTGGCTCTGTAAACATACAAATATTCAACTTCCATCACATTTACTGCTTCATTTCTCCATGTCTAAATGTCCCGTGTTTGCAAATGCACTCGGACTTTGTTCACGCTGCAACAAAAAGTTATTTTCAATATCAGTTAATCTGAGGATTATTTTCTTGATTAATAGATTCATATTGTTTATGATTCATCAGCAAACGTTCCAAAACACAAACACAATGTCCATTTGTTATAATGTGAGACGACAGGAAGCTGGAAGCTTCAAATTAGTATCAAAATAATTGCCAATTCATTTCCTGTCAAATCTATTAATCACTGCAGCTGTAATGTCACGTGTTGATTGAATTCAGTGCCACAGTTTAGGTGCGTAAGAACAACAATAATAACCACATTAATAGCAAAGTATTATAATAAAAACATATTTGTGTCCATAATAATGTTATTAAACTTCATTATAATAAAAAGAAAAGAGTTTTTCTGTCGCTGTTGTAAACCTGATCCCTGTGTGACGCAGCACAACCTGAATCCATCAGACCTGCTGTAAAACACGTCCTGCTGCGAGCAGATGGTGGCGCGACACATTCAGGGAGAGGATTCCCCACCGTCGTGTGAATAGAGGATCGGTTGTTATGAACGCTCCCCTACACAACAGCACAGAGGGAAAAATAACAATTCAACCTGCCGAGTGTGTGTGTGTGTGTGTGTGTGTTTGTGTGTCGGTGCTTTCAACTAAAATGATCGGTGGCTTTTGTTTTATCAAACAGTCTCCAAACAAATGCTGTCAAAGCAGAAACTCACCTATAATGGAATTAAATGAAGCTGGAGCTGAAAATTAAAATGAGTTTGGTAATTATCTTAAGTAATTCTGAACTGGTAGATGGGATTTAATCAGCGCGGCGTTGCAGTCGGCACTTCACGCTGTCATGAACTCCAGTCAGAGTGATTAGCCAGAGGAGGGACGGGCCCCATTTACACTGAGTCTCGGGGCAAGGGATGAGATTGAATCATCCTTTTGCATGGAACACACTCCATTAACGCCCTCCCTCCCCACACACACACACACACACACACACACGTCTTCATGTTGATTATGTCACCCCTTCCTGGAGCCAACACAAAAAAAGAAACTTGTTTCTTCACAGATGAAAAACAACCAGCAGATAATGAGAGAATTTTCACTTCTTCTATTTATTCCTTAAAAAACGTCGACGTCCATCAGTGAATATTATTAATGTAATATAGTGTCACAGACCTGACAGTCTCTGTTTGTGCGTGTTGCTCCTGCATATGTGAAAACAGTTGTGTAGAGTTGTGTGTGTCTCCTGAAGGAGCTGTGTGAAGTTTAATAAACGGGTGTGGTGCTGCTTTACGTACCGGAGCCACCGACGACACACGAGCACGTTAGTCTGACTTTACCAACAGATACCACAGATGTAGCTTGTAATCAGCGAAGCGTTAAAACAACACAGACCGATGAACACAAGCAGTTTGTGATTTTAATGATTTCATTTACTTACTCGAAATGAAGCAAATGAAGAAGAATCGCAGTCAAAGAACTGATTGAGAGGAAATTTGCATCTGAGGTCAAGTTCATCTAATTGGCTCAGCTATAAAAACGTAGCTAAGCTAACTTTCATTTCCAGCAACACAAGTTTAACAGACAAATAGAGAAACTGTCAGAAGCGTGAATGATGAACGAAAGGATTCTTTCCTCTGATTTTCTTTCTACGATTATAGATTCTGCGATCACGTTTCTTTGACGCCGATACGGATCTTTTTTGTCGTGCGTTGCAGATGGCGTACGTCATATCAGTCTCACACCATTTGTAAACACCACACTACACAGCACACAGCGCGTCTCTCAGCCGCAGACACCCCAGCATTAACCACAGGTGATCGGTGACTAGATCTGCTGATCACGTAGTGTTAATGAAAATCGATCGGGTCATCCGTATTAACATTAGCTAAGTAGAAAACATAATTGAATTCACAGCAGCTACCACCAGCTGTTAAGCAGGAATGTTTTCTTGCGTGTTACTCAACATGAGTCGAAGTCGCGAATCAATCAATACACTGTTAGTACTAACATCACAACTTTGGCCGTTCCATTTGTCGTCATCGGCTCGCCTCCACAGAAAGAAGTGAAGTAACCAGCCCTCTGTACGACAGTGTTGTAGGAATGCAGTGCCAAAGCGGTGGCGTGGTAGGTGTTGATCAGTTTGGCCGTCAATCACCGCAGACTGACCCAACTGACCAAGTCGTAAACACCGGTTCATTATTTCCTGTTGCTGACTGAGTCATTTCACTAAGCGAGCGTCAGCTCACACTCAGGGAGACGGGCTCCAAACACGAGGAGCTCTTAAATTAAAAATGATTTCCTCGCACCGTTTTTAATAGTCACAACGCTGAGATCTAAATGGCAGAGAGGTTATAGAGATTTTTAATTAAGACTGCAGTAATTGAAACATGTCGGCACGCTGAACATCTCCCGGTTGCAGACGAACCTTTCTCTCACCTTGAGCGTGAATTGATCTTTTGTTTTATCTTTAACCTTCGAACAGGCTTTTCTGTTGCTTCGTGAACACTTACACGGATAAATCCTGATGGTAATGAGAAATACGTCTCTCCATTTCTAAGTGTGTGTGTGTGTGTGTGTGTGTGTGTCCACTGTGCAGCAGCAGTGTTACTCTGAGGTTGGTCCGCTGCTTTTAGCTTTGTGCGTCTCAGGTGTCGACAGTTGAAGGGACGATTCACCTCTGTCACATGTGACCTCTGCACATGAGGAAAACTCAGTGAAGAGATAAAACTCTGTACCTCAGGACTTTCTCACGCTTTACCTCTTTAGTATATTTACTGTAACATTGTGGTGCAGGTTGCATAGAATAAGGGAATGCAACATCATCCTGACCAAAGGAAATGAACATAAAACACAGATTCTTGAGTACGTGTATCTTCAAATATGGGTCGGTCCCAAGTGACACTCAGTTTCCATCTGCTCAAAAGTAAAAAAATACGCCTTATTTTTGTGTTTCTTGAATAAAGCCGCCATTAAACTCACAATTATTACTATAACAATTACTGTGTTTAGCTAATGTGGTACATTTAATGGCCATGTTCCTCATTATAAAGTGTTTTTTATATATATTTATAATTAGCCCCCCATTTTCTACAAGGGTTTAGTGTTTTATTTGTTTGTTTGTCAGCAGGATTACATAAAGAGTACTGAACCAATTTGCACCAAACTTGGTTTCTGTTAAACGGGCAGATCTGGATTTATTTATCTTTATCACAACATTGTGAGAGAGGCCGATGTGCTCTGACTGCCGTTCTACTTTATTAACTAATTATTGTATTTATATATTTCTACATATTAATTCATGGTCTCGGCTCATCTCATATAAAATCTTTGTATCTCTCACATGTGATCATAATATCATACATGACCTTTTTTATTTTACTAATGAACCCTTCATAAAGAAATCAAACAGTCGGTAGATTCCAGCTCCCTGGATTGTAAACGACATGTTTCCGTTGTTTCAGCTGCTGCAGTGAAGCTGACGGCAAAACCACAACAAAGAAAGTGGCTTAATTATTTATCACGCATTTGTGGGATGAGACGTCAGTTTCTGTCCGGCTTAATGGCACCTCCATCAGGCCGTCTTTGTAACAGGGTTTTTTTAAATTATATTCACCCACAAACTTGGCTTTAGTCTCCACTGGATGTGTCACTGAGCTGCCAGCATCATGACTCACATAATTTAGACGCGTGTGAACAGAGATGAAGGTAAACAGGAGGAGAAATGACCAGATCTCAGGCAAACAACTCGACAGCTGTCAGGTGGAGATT